TGCCCTGAAAAGTATGCTACGCTTTGAGCAGAACTTGGACAGAACTTCAGGCTGCGGCAGCGGTCACTTTTGCTCACTTTATCTCACTTTTGCTCATTTCCTGCCGATGCCAACTAATTGGAAAGAGTAATTGAATTGCCAGCTGAGGTGTGAAAGTTGATTTAGATATGATTCGGCATTACGAGAAGCGGGCGTGCCAAATATTTGCCCAGCGATTTGCCATGGACCGGCATGCTTAGCCAATCAGCCAAAGCAATCCCAATGGCCCACCATATTATTGCTGCCAATTCTCATTTTAGTTCTCGTGTTAGCCCCAAGCCGCAGAACGCGAATGAGCAGGTGACAACGTAAAGCCGCAGCTTTAACAATTTTTAATTAAACTTTGCGGCTACCCAAAATATTGAGCATGTTTTGGACAACAACAGAGAGCATGCAGCTGTTGAGTAAATTTCAATCAAGGGAAGTTCCCATATTCAGAGCTGACGATGCTCACCTGCGTTTGCTTTGCTATTTGTTCAGGATATGCTTTTGTTGGAGTTTGCACACACCCACAAAGGTGTGCTCAAGTGACTCGCTGGTTGCCCCTTTTCTCGTTATAATGGAGTCACTGAATGGAAAATTAGTTTTGCACTTTGCTGGGCAATCAGCAAGAGCGATTCAATCAGTTGTCAATCGCTTGGGACTGAATGCTGGAATTGTTAACAGCAAACTGCACTTTTTTGCTGTATTTAATATTTGCACTCTTTATGAACTTTTCCTTTAAATTTATTTTAACTTAATTCAGCAATGAAATGTTAACTTTTCTTTTCCATTTTTTTCATTTATCTTAATTTTCATTACATGTTTTTTACATCAAATATCAATCACTTAATTCATTCATTGATGCATTTATTTCACCATTTCCCTGGGGCCCTTACAACAATTTGTTTTATTTATTTATTTATATGTTGTTTTATTCATTCATGTTTTTGCTGCGTTCCGATTTTATGTTAATTTATTCGTGTGCTTAAGGCATATTTATTTTTCAATCAATTGTGGGGAAATTTCTGGTTGATTGTGTTGATTATATTTGTCATTTGTTTTAAGCAATGTTAATTGTATTTTATTGCATTTTATTACATTTTGTATTAATTGTTATTGTAATTATTTTAATACACTTTTTCCAGTTTGCATTTGCTCGATAATTTTGTTTTTAAAACTTTTTCTAGATTTATGTACTTTTTATGGATAAATTTGCATTATTTAAATATAATGCACTATAATTAATCACATACACTTTTTAAGCTTTTTTTTTGGTTAAATAAATTAAATTTATTTAAATTAATTTCTTAATTTTTTGTTAATTTTTGTTGTTAAAATATTTTTGCATTTCCTGCAAGCACTCTTGGAATACTTTGGAATATATAATTATAATTATTCATTAATTTGAATTTCCTTATTAATTGTGTTTTTTTGCAGCATAAATTTCAACACTTTCTGCACCTATTTTTTCTTTCTCCTTAATTTATTTTCACTTTCTCTGTTCACATTTGCGATCTTTGTTTCGGTTCTTCCTTTTGACTGCTCCTTCGTCTGGCACGTCGCGCACGTCCGGTGTATGGTTGAAGACTGAGTTGCCTTGCGGCCATGGCGGCAGCATTCGCCGTTTGCTGTTAGCAACACTGCGGGCTCTGTTAACTAACAGCTAACAGCCGAAACCCAGCTCGGCCGCTGTTACTGTTACACCACTGTTACGACTGTCGCTCACTCTCTCTCTCTCTCTCGCTCTCTGCTGTGTCGGAGGTACACAAACATTGCGATTTAATTTCATTCATAAATTCATGTACCTTCACTTTGTGGCCCGCACCAACGATGAACTCGTCCGCCTGCCCTGCAGTTTGTGTTTTACTTGTCGCATGAGTAATGTCCGGGGCAGCTGCTCCCGGAGCGCGCCCATAAATGGCCAGTCAATCGAATTGTCTGAAATGACACTGTAATGGCTAGTTTCTGAGCGCCGAGTTTGCTAATTGAAAGTGCAAATGGCCCGAACCACTTGCACTTACTTTTAACATTTATCGTTGTTGGCGCCGCCCCTGGCAAGATTTGAACTTGACCTTTGACAATCGATGGAGTGTGGGCCTGCAGGCGGGTTGGACATTGTTTAGGTGAAGCAATCAACGCAACGCGAAATCTAAGCCATTGTCCGGACAGGCCCCTCAGCGCTCGTAAAGTCGTGGGCCAAATGTGTTTGTTTTTGCAGTACATGAGCCATTGCCGGATACGGACGCTGCTCCCGCCCCTCGTGTTTATTGTAAGAAGGCAGGAGAAGCCGCATGCGGCTCGTATTTATTGTAAGGGAGAGGATAAACAACCGCATATTAATGTCAATTCAGGCCTTGGCCATCGCTCGCAGATTTGTGGATTTGTTTTGATTTTTCCCTGACTGCCTTGGGGCATCGCGACTCGTGCCTCGAATTCAATTGAAATGCGGAAAATGGTGGAGCTGCTGGCTGACGCCTTCTTGTGGCTTGCTTCAAGAGCTTCAAGCGCCGTAGAATTTTGGGTGTAATTTCAGCATGGTTGTCTGGTCGCGGTAAATATGCACAGTAACTGAAGCGTGACCACAAAACGGATGGGCTCGGGGTCTGGCCTGGGGCCTCTCTCTGCGCCCTTCTCTGCTTTATGCCTGGAGCAGCCTTAAGCTCCTTAAGCTATTAGGGAAACCCCTCGCATAGTGTCCGTTGAGTAAATCCCGCTTACACGAGTGCCCTTAAAAGTAATTTGCAGCGAAAAATGAATGAACCACAATGGAGACACACACACTTTGATCTGCCATAAAAACGATTAAACGGGGCGCCCCCCAAAGTAATCTCAGGCTCATAATCTGTTGGTCGAGGGTTGCTCCTGGTTGAATGCATGCAGGGTGAATACTGAAAGCGTAATCACCATCAATAATAGTGATACAATGGCAGACCTCTCGCTGCGCACTGCCGTGTTGCCATGTCTGTCAGTGGAGATAATTCTATTGGCCAGCAGATTGTGGCAACTGCTGATTAGCATAATGTACCAGGACACACACACATGACTGAGAGTGAGAGACAAATGATGGGGGTCTAATCGAAAAGGGTCCGACCACAGGCTTTGAGGGCACAGCAGTTGGTCTAGGCTCCAAGCACAGCTACTGATTGCGTCTTTAGCCTGATGAACGATGCCTGCAAATGTCATTTAGAGCGACTTTGAATGCGTCAAAGTCATTTGACGCTGCTGCTAATTAACTTAAATTAAACTTAAATGCGAGCGAGTGTCCTTGGCCTTTCGAGTTTCTGGGCGTACATTGAACCGGCAGCAACGTATCCCTTTTCATAGTTGTGGGAAGTTTATTTCACCATCATTACTCATACGAAACCCCGTGGATTGTAGTTTATGTGCCGAAAAAGTTCGAAATTGGTCATCCCGAGTGGCACAGAGGCTGGGGCAACGCTTTTAAGCAAATGAAACCCAACCGGACACGCACACCCCTTGCTTTTTCCAGTGAATTCAATTATTTGAAAGGTTGTGCCCCAAAATCGATGTCTACAATTAGCGAGTAGAAACTGAACATTTTTTTTTGTGTGTTTGTCAACGACTTGTTGAGCGCGTGCAAGAGTTCAATAAATTGAGGTCGAAGTCGAAAGCACCTAACGGAGTTTGAGCAGCCTTTCCCCCTCCTAATGTGCCCACTTTTTAAGCTCAAATAACATGGGAAAATAATGTTACTCGCTCTCTACCAGTACGAGCGGGTTACATGGGTTGGTCGAACTGCGAATGACTTTCGGCTTGTCCTTTGGGGAGGGGGAGGCATGCAATAAAAACTAAATGAATTGGAAACTTGCAAGAGAATTCAGCCAAACTGCTGACGAGGATGCCGCCGCCGCCGCCGCCGCCGCCTGATGACAGGGTCTCCCGGCCAGAACTTCAAAAATGCCAAAGAAAGTTCGAAGCGGCGCCTTGAATCCGATGTCATGTCGTTTGTTCATAAAGAGCAAAAGCAAACAAAATTCCACAGTTCAACTGAAAACAAGTGAAAGACGCACTGCCCCCCGCCCACTCAGGACTTCCACTCGGCAGTCAAACTTTCCACTGGGAATGCCCTTTGCAGCACGTGCTCGATGTTTGCCCCGCCCTCCACTCTGTTTGCTTAGGTCTTTGTTTTGATGAAGTGCCAGAAAAATTGTTTCTTATTATTTGCATGAAAAATTGAGAAATTGAATGGCCTGCAATGGATTTGATTTCATTTGATTTTGTTTGTTTGTTTGTTTGTTTGGCTATTTTCTTCTCTTTTATAGATGGAATACGCGCAGCACAAAAATAGATACCACTAGCCGTAGGTCTGACATTGACAGGGCAAACAACGACTTTTATGGGCCGCAAAAGCTCTGATAGATTTCATCGCACATGGCCATAAAAGCCATGCCAAGGCACCCCAAGGGCCTAATAAAATCTCTCTTTTTGACTGATCATAAAACGAAGTGAAGCCACGGACATGGCCCCCAGCAGTCCAAGTGGATTCTCTGAAATTAATTCTTTAGGCCCTGTAGGTGTTGCCATTTCACCTTTCCCCCTTCGGGTTGCCCTTTTGCATTGTCCTTTTTGATTTTTGTTTACATTATAATCAAACAATTTGTCGCCTTGTGCAAATTAATATGCCACTAAATAAGATAAAGTGCATGGCACTCTGATAGTATTTGCATTTTTATTGCCGTTACCGTTACCATCGCCCTCGCTTTCGCTTTCGCTTTCGCTCTCGGTCTTAACACTCCCCCACCACGCGAAGAGAGCGACGCCACAGAGAGCCGAAAAGCAACCGAAAAGCAACCGGTAGTTCTTGGCTGCTGCGTCAACAGTGACAGCGACTGCGACTGCGGCAGCGACATCTCTGTTACGCCGCTGTTAACGCCTTGGCCCGAACCGTGCGTGCCGTACCGTGCCGGCAAAGATTTTTTTGGACAAATTCAGTCTCTCGGATGCTGCGGCCAGTTTCTGTTGCTGTTACGTTTTACCAAACAGAGGGAAAGAACCGTACGAATTGCGGCGTAGTGGATACGCGCGTGTTGTCCGTGGATTAATTGTGCGCCGGAGAAGATCGTCGATCATTTAGTTGGCCAATATAATTGCAAGTGCGTGTAAACAAAACCCCAAAGCGCGTGGTAATTAATTTAGCACATGGTAACAATTGATTAGCAATAATGCATTAGAGTTTAATAAACAAAAGACACAGGGAGGTGGAGAGGCAGCAAGTGGAGTGCAATGAACGTGCAAGAAAACAAAAACAAAAACAAAAATAATTAACCAAAAAATAACAAAAAAACCCAAAAAGTTTACGGCCATAAAAAATAAATGCATTTTGCAAAAATGTGGCAGGCAGTCAACGTTTGATAAATTTCAATTAAACGTGTTTTAAATGCACAAGCGATAGCCCACAAAAAAAAAAAAAAACAAAAATAAAAAGGCATCAAAAAGCCATAATTAATTGTCATTAGGTGGAGTGAAAACCCCAGCAGGGGAGCGGAGATGTGTGAGAGTTTTAAATGCAGAAAGAAAATTCGGACTCTGCAGCCCAATGACCATGACAGTAATGACAGCTCGTGTCTCCAGTGCAAGGCCTAATCATACGAGCTTTAAATATTGTATTTCATGTGCAAATCTATTCGAGAACATACACTTTATGGGCGGTGGCAGTGCATAATTTTTGTTGCTGAGATGCTACACAGTCGCCACAGACGAGCCACACAAAAACACAAAACAGACAGCCAGAGAAAAAACAGTGAAAAAAAACGAAAAAACCAGTTTGATTGAATATGCAAAAATAATAAAACCAAATTCGACAGCATTTTTGAACTGTGCATATTTTGTGTGTGGCAGCCACAGCCTCTCTGCTCGTATGATAATGATAATAAAAACCGCCAAAAACGGTCAACAGCGGTCACTCATCATGAATGGAATGGAATGGAATGGAATGAAATTAAATGGAAACTATGTAAATGCTTTAGTCGCTTTAGTCGCCCCATTAGCTGTGCTTCACCTCCACTCAAATGACCTTGACAGCGTGCCGCGCAGCTTAAATTGTTTACTCCCTGCTGGAGTACACCTCCTGGGAGAGACAATCCTGCCCCAAACTCCCCAAAGTTGCGCACAAATATTTTGACTAAATGCCACTTAGCAATTCAAATTAATTTACAGCCGGCAGAAGCTCTGGGAGGCACCTGACTGACCCCCAGGATGATGACTGGAGCACAAGGAGAACACTCACGACACTCACGCGCCCCTCTCAAGCTACTAATCCCGCATCCATGACAACAGGTTGTCAGTGGCTCTGCTCCGGCCTAAGACGAATTTGATGAGCCCCAGTTCTGGTGGGGGCATAATGAAAACATTGTTTGCGCTTAACCTTCAATCGGAAAGACATAAGCAGAATCAGCAGCCCACACCAATTCGAATTTAAAGCAATACAAAAGGAAAACAAAATCAAAAACAAACTCTTGTCCATGGCAGTCGTCAAGATGTTGCCGATGAACACTACAACCCCCAGCCTCCTGGCAGCCTCCGACTTTCAGATCTTTCAAAACGAAAAGTTCCTCTTTAATTTGACACAAGAGCTGAACATTTCGGCGGACAATCTGTCGAGTCTGCTGCAGGGCCTCGGGCCACAGGAGCTGCTGCCTCCAATGTCCCTGCTGGCTGCTCTGAGTGTGGGCTATGCCTTGATCTTCATCGCTGGGGTGTTGGGCAATCTCATCACCTGCATTGTGATCTCTCGAAATAACTTCATGCACACTGCGACGAACTTTTATTTGTTTAATTTGGCGGTGTCCGACATGATCCTGCTGTGTTCAGGTGGGTCTGCACAGAGTCCTGTGGTCCGGCTGGCACTTATTGAATTCTGTTGTAGGCATGCCCCAGGATCTGTATAATCTCTGGCATCCTGACAGTTACCCCTTCAGCGATACTATCTGCGTGCTGGAGAGCGTTGTCTCGGAAACGGCAGCCAATGCCACGGTCCTCACCATCACCGCGTTTACCGTGGAGCGCTACATTGCCATTTGTCATCCGTTCAGGTGAGCTTCATTACCCCAATCCACTGCCACTCGTCATTCCGGCACGTTTAATTGCTTTTAAATTCTCCCACACAGGCAACACACAATGTCCAAGCTGTCGCGCGCCATAAAGTTCATATTTGCCATCTGGATTGCAGCGCTGCTGCTGGCCCTGCCACAAGCCATCCAATTCTCGGTGGTGCTGCAGGGCGTGGGCTCCTCGTGCACGGTATGATTGATGGGCTGAAAAGTAGCCATGGAAAGGTCGTGATTTTCAGAAAAATATTTGACACTACTTTAGACTGTAAATTGAGGGAAAACATCAGGAACTCTCAAACTCAAAGCTTTGAGCTGAAAAGTAGTGGAGGGAAAAGTAGAAAAGTAGCTGAAAAGTAGTGCAGCTGAAATATATTTCAGATTTAATTGTTTTAGTTCCACTTTCTCTGTGCCCACAGACGTTTCACACTTCGCTTTAAATCCTCATTTTATGTGGGTTGACTCAATTAGCTGCAAACAAAATTGATGGCCCACGCTTGCCAACGGGCCTTGGCTGTAACACTATCTCGAGTGTGTCTTTTACATCGTTTTTGCATGAAATATTTTATATATATTTTTTTGTTACACTCTCGCGTTTCTGTGACAGATGAAAAACGACTTCTTTGCCCATGTGTTTGCCGTGTCGGGCTTCCTCTTCTTTGGCGGTCCCATGACAGCCATCTGTGTGCTGTATGTCCTCATCGGGGTGAAGCTCAAGCGGAGCCGTCTGCTGCAGGCACTGCCACGGCGCTGCTTCGACGTTAACCGCGGCATAAGCGCCCAGACGCGCGTCATCCGTATGCTGGGTAAGCGCTGCCGTTGGCATCTTTGTGGAGGCAAACGGGCAAAACGGCCAAGTAATGTATGGGTTTTCTGTTTCCTCCTTCCTCCTTGGGCCTTCGACAGTGGCGGTTGCGGTGGCGTTCTTCATCTGCTGGGCTCCCTTTCATGCACAGCGATTGATGGCGGTTTATGGCTCCTCCTCGGGCATTGAGTCGCAGTGGTTCAACGATGTATTCAGCGTCCTCGACTATACATCCGGTGTGCTCTACTTCCTCTCCACCTGCATCAATCCGCTGCTGTACAACATCATGAGCCACAAGTTCCGTGAGGCCTTTAAGGTGAGCTTCAACTTGATTGCTTTCCCCCTGAGTGACTCCACCCTCTCCCTCAGGTAACCTTGGCTCGTCACTTTGGACTCTCGGGCAAGAACCCCAACCGTGGACTGCCGCACACCTACAGCGCGCTGCGACGCAATCAAACGGGTTCTCTGCGGCTGCACACAACGGTGAATATTAATGCAGTTGCCACGGGAATATCTATTGCAGGTTTTTTCTTCTTCCTTTCCCCCTGCAGGACAGCGTTCGCACAACCATGACATCCACAACGACAACCACGACAACCGTGCTAAATGGCAGCGGCAACAACAATGGTGGGGCAGCGGCCGTGGCTGCCAATTTGGCTCGCTCCTCGCTGCGCCTGAATCGCGTCTCACTGGACAGCGCACAGAGTCAGAGTCAGAGTCAAAACCGCAGCAGGCAGGATCTGTTTGAACAGCAATCTCATCCCCCTCCACGTCGCATTCTGCAATCGCAAATATCGCAGTTGTCATCAGTGGGCGATGCGCACTCGCTGCTGGAGGCGGACATACAATGGCCAGAGGAACAACACTCAACGCTGCAGCAGCAGCTGAAACTGCAACCCCCCATGTGCTCCATTGATGAGCTGAGCTGTCAGTCGTCGGGGCCAGACGATGTGGGGGGAGTCTCCCGCTCACGCCTCAAACTGACGCGCATTACGCGGGGCGGGCCTGGGGCTGGGGCTGGGGGCGTGGCTGTGGGCGTTGCGGCACACGAGGCAAATGGCAAAGTGCGAAAGGCAAAGGCGAAAGCGCTGAAGAGCTCCAGTGCCCTCAAGACTCTCAGGGCCAAATTCAATTGGCGTGCCAGACGCAAAGGCAGCCACAAGCCACGCGCCAGGACGGGCGCCAGCGAGGTCCCAAGTGAGAGAGCCGCTTACTAAGAGCAGCCGCTTAAAGTAGATTCCTGAGACCGCTCGTGAGTGGCACACAACTGTGATAAGAGCAGCAAGTACTCTTCAGCTTGCTATGAGAGTGGCTAGAAAAATATTCCAAGTTCGGTCAATTAGTTGCCCATAGTCATAATTTACGCAAATAGTAGAAACATAAATGTACATTCATAGAACAGCGATCGGCAGCGTCACATGCTTTGTGCATTGAAAAAGCTCTAGTGCAGCGCAGTCGGCACACGCGCAGCGTAGAAAGTTCGTGTGGCCTCGGCTTCTGCACAGCGCAAAAGCTTCGTGTGGCTTCGGCCGCCGCAGTGACAGAGAAACAACAACAAGCTGATCTGCTGCTGCAGCGGCAGCGAAGCAAGAAACGTTTTTGGCTTCTGTGCATGTCCGTGCATGCACACAATCATATGAGTGGCTGCGTGCCGATCGCTGCTATAGATAGTCAGACCACTGCAAGTCTCAATAAAGTAGCCTGTTAAATTTTCCTCCAGCTTTGTCTTTTACTTCTTGTTTGCCTTTGGCGGTGGAGCTGTGGGGTTTGCATTTGGATTATCAAAGAGCAAGTTCAACGCACGCCTCTCTGACTAATGTGTCCCACTCGGACGAAGGCGAGCGCGTGCTGCACTTAAAAAAGCGTGCAGAGAGGGAGAGTGGGATGCTCTCTCCGCATCATAATCCCGATGAGCAATTAAGATGTCTATCAAGCGCACAAGTAAGCTCTATGCTCCGGATTCTGCAGTCTAGACGCCCAAAACGACACAAAAAACTGCTGAGTGCATGTTCACGCAAGGAATGAGTATGAGTACGGTTACGACTGTGTGTATGTGTGTGTGGGTGGGTGAGTGAGTGAGTGTCTGACTAATTAGCATAGCGTCGCATTTGTTTTTAATTTCAGCAAATGCAATTAATTAGCCCCAGACAGCAGCTAAAAGATATAAATGACATTTCATTCATAAACTGCAGGCAGCATACGCCGGGCAGGATGTGACGTCCATGAATAACTGTAACCACACAAAGCTCACGTAATTTACACTCATTTTTGGTAATTAATGTGCATGTTACAGCTGCACTTCAGGGGCTAACTAGTGGGTGGAATATGGTGTAACACATTGCACAGGTTGTGCTGACAAATCGGAGGTTGGTTTTATTTTAATTTCCCTTTCGCTTTTTTAAATCACTTTTCATCAAAATTTTGTGGAGTTTTCCGCTCCTTGTAATTAAATATATTTTCTCCATTGACTCCATCAACTCCATTGATTATGTTTCAGTTGCCAAACTTCTCTCATCTCTTTAGTAGTAAGCATGTTGTGGTAAAAGGCACTTCAAAAGTTTTGCCACAACATTTAATAGCAACTTTAGTAGCCAGATTTTCCCTACTCCCAGCCAACAGATTAGTTTGTCTGGCAGTTTGTCATCCTCTAACTTCTATGCTCCATGGAGCGAAACTATTTTAATATTAAATATTAGGTAAGTCTATAGACTTGTGTTTATTTATAGCTAAATTGATAAACAAGCCAATTGCTTTGATAGCAGAAATTCGGTGTTTAGGCAATATTGTAAAGAGACAAGATGCTAATCGGCTACACACGCCCGCCCATACGCTCTACTTTTTTATGGCCGTCAACGATAACGACTCGTGGTTGGGGTCCTCATTGGGGTCTAGGTCGCTGCCTTGGCCAAGACCTTTTCCCCACCAAACGGTAGGTTAGGGTGGACATCATTTGTGCGACATAAAAGTCAAACCCTGTCAAATAGTTTCGATGAACTTCATCATTTTTATGGCCTGGCCAAAAACAGCACCCAGACAGAGAGTGAGAGCGAAAGAGATACAGGATAGATATCCATTTCTGAGCAAACCACACAATAAATTTGAGTGCGTTTCATTTGTGCAAATTTACTATCACTTGTCTCGATGGCACCACCAGACTGGCAGACTGGCAGACTGGCAGACTGCAGACTGAAAGCAATTGAGGCATTCAATTTACGCGCCGGCCTAAAACGCCATTGCCTCTTACTTTAAACCCACTAATAAGTCTTTGTTCGTTTCACGAGCTACCACACACACACACACACACATGGCCGAGAGACCCTCATAACGCATAAATACGATATAAATAAGCAATTCTGGGGACGGGATGCGTTGGCAGCCGAATAAGCCCGTGACTATGCCATAAACTCTCAATTTCATTTATATGTATGAGCCATGTTTGCAATTCAAATGGACGATGTGCGATACACTACACTAAACCTTTACACACACATGTGGCCGTTATGAGGTGGGCGTGGTGCTGTGTCGGCGGCAATTAAGCCGTAAAATATCGTTGCCTACTTTTCGCGGCCAGCCCGCGGGCCCTTGCAAGGGCCTTGGTCTCTCTCAATCGATGGGAAAATTAAACAGAATTTATGTGTATGCGAGTAGCTGAAAAAATAACTGAACCACTTAACGGGGCACTGATGGCTTTGCATAACACTCTATCAATTAAGCTGCCATTTCCTTGTGTCCTTGGCAGTTTGTTCGATATCCACTTAAACAAGTCGCAACGTGAAAAAGACAACACATGACTTTACACGTACGAATATTCGGGATGCCGAACATGTCAGGCAGTGCGTTTGCCATGACACTTTATGTGAAGATGTTCCAACTTGATGTCTGGGTTGCTCCCTCCCTCTCCGCCTGGCACGTGCGGCTGGCTGCTGCCATTCGGGACTTATGCTAAGGCGAGGCATGTGGCTACGATTTGATATGTTTGACTTTTTGGCCTGGGCTCGGAGTGTGCATCCATTTGAGATTTACTCGATACAGTTCCCTGTCTGGCTCTCCCGACTTGCTACACCCGTGGGCGGTGTCCTGGCGTTGGGAAGTGGCATTGTTGTCGGCATTTCGCACGTAGTTAGAGCTCGTGGGTGTGGCTCATAAATGTGGAAATTTGATCGGGTTTGACAGGGAAAAATCGAGTACAATGCGTTTAGATTGCCAAGGAACCAACTAAACGAAATTCAATTGCCTACTCGTGCCCCACCAGTCGATGGCCGTATTGGGAAAAAAATAAACACCGCTCCGATTGAGGTATACAAAATCGAACATATTTGATAGAAATTGAGCAATTGATTTTTCCCACAGTGCAGATGGTCGGAAGGAGTGCTACTTCCTGTGAAATACACCAGGGATTAGGCATAGCTTACGAATCAATTCATTAGAGCTTTCTACATATTTCGGAATATTTTTACTCACTTTTCGTTCCTTTGCTTCAAGTCCTAGTCCGCAATGGGTTTCATTGACAACAGCAAGCCCACAGCACCAGTACGTGGCCAAGAGTATTTTCTGAAAAATGTTCTGAGTTTAGTATGTGATTTTGGTTAAATTACTTATGCTTGCTACCGAAATACCTGTTTGCCTTGTCCCATATGTGCACAGATGTCAGGTCAGATTTGAATTTCGCACGTTCTTGAACCAGTTGTACATTTTATTTAATTTTCTTTGCCACCTTTATAAATTATATTTTTTCAGACCTCGAAATATTTGTATTGCCTTGCAAATTGATAACCAAAAATTAAACAACAAAAAATGTGCCAACAAATAAATAACGGCTTAAAAAACTATAAAAACTTATTCTCTGACACAAATCGTGCGATGAATTTTTAATTTAGTTATTGAAATTGTGTACAAAAAGTATACACAACAAAATCGAGGGTGGGGCAAGTCAATTCAAACAAAAAAGACCAAACAAAAATCAAGACAGCTCATCAAATGGCACGTGTTATTGATTATTAACATACAAATGTTGAAGTATATTTTGTTTTCATTCGGTTTTAATATATCCAATCAAGTTTTGCACAGATGCTCGTGCAGTGACACCGACTAATAGCTTCAAAATATGTTTATTAGTAGACCAGGCAAAAATTGCTGACAGCCAGAAATGTTATGATTCATGGAACATATACAAGAAGCTTAAGGCATTAAACTGTCACTTTTTGCAGTTAAGGTGGGAAGGCTTTGTTTCAGTCTCGTAATCTAAGGAATGCTGAGAAATTATCAATGATTTCGTTGTGCAAAAACACCTGAAGCATATTCTGGGGAATACGAAGCAAAGCAAAGTTTAGCTCAAAGTTCAGAAACAAAAGTTTCTTTTGAAATCAAAATTGCTAATTAATGGAAACGCTGGCGCATTCAACTTGTGGGATTGTGTATCGAATGGGAAACCAATGCGAATGCGAAGTATCTGCGTGGGCGTGACGTGGGCTATAAATGCAGGCGGTTCCGCCTGCCCATAATTCCTCGCTACCAAAACAGACCGCAAATTTATGACTGGCTGTTAAAAAGTAGCGTAAAGCACAAAGAAATGATTGAATCAAACGGCGACATAACAATCCTAATTAATTGTAAACAAGCCATGAAAACCCCGACGCAGTACAGTTCATCTACGAGCACATTCACGTCATGTCGTAGGGGGAGGGGCGTCGGACGGGACGGTGGGTACCGTACCGAAGGCATAGCCACCCTTCCCACTGCACTGTGCTGGTCGGATGTCTGCGTGCGTGTGAGGGAGCCAAGAGTGACGACTTCGTCGACACTTCCCATTTGTACCACGAGCAATAATATTTTGATTGAATTTTCCCCACATCGGGTGCCGTTAAAAGAGGAGAAGGGCTGACTGAAAGTTCGCAGAGTCTTGGCAGTTCAACAAAGTGGCATTTGATTTACGTCGACACGGAAAACAAGCTGTTAAGTCAAGCCGATTCCAGAAACGTTTAGTCGAATTGTCGGCAATGACTATTACGGCATGCCGTTTGTGCTTTGGGAAATTATTTTAATAAATTATTTATTGAGAAAATCTTTGGGAGTGAGATATTAACCGATATTTGTGTGTGTGATTGTGTAAAGCTATTAAGCGTTTTTAGTAGTTGTTGGTTTTGTATTTACAGCAAATGTTCAAGAGGTTCGATGCAACTGTAAATTTACAGTTAATTTTGCAAACAAAAGCAAAAACAAAATTGGCCGCACCCCATTCATAAGCGATCGAGAGAGAGCGACATAAAGCGAGCGTTAGCGCAGGTAGCAGCGGCTGCTAAGCTGAGCACAAAGCTTACCTCGAGCGCGAGAGAAGTGCAGCAACACAGAAGGCGGCGGGGATAGAGAGACGAAAGAACGGTCGAGCGAGAAGAAGCGATCGAAAAAGAGCGCTGGAGCAGGTAGCTGCGACTGCTAAGTAAAGCACGAAACTTATCTAGAGCGACCGAAAAGTGCAGCAAGGAAGAAGGCGAGATAGAGAGAGGCGTAAAAACGGTCGCTGCCGCCCGTAAGCACATGCTAGAACTATGCGTATGTACAGTGAGCATTGCAATATAGCGAACAGTGATTAGGGGTGTATTGATTGGGCTGTATGTAATTTATGCATTTGGGAAACACTGGAACACACGACAAACTTGATTTTCTTTTAAGGAGAAATATAACAAATTTTAATTATACGGAAACTTAAGTACTGTAATACATTTTGAGTCCAAACTATAATTCATTTTGAGACACAATCCCCCCCAAAAAATATTTTAAAAACTTTTAGCTTGTGTCTCTTGCTATGCTAGCACGCGTCTCTTTACCCATTAAAGAGAATTCCGAATTCCACTTGACTCACTGGCCGCATTCCAAAATACAAACAAACATAATTGTGTTGTTAAATTTTGCATGCATTTCTATACATATTTACGTCTGTATGTGCGTACATATCTTCGCATGTTTTCGCGACATTTTCCGTGGAAGAGGAGACTTTGCCGGCGTCGTCACCGCCAGCACCACAGTCTCTGTCGCTAGAGTCAAATACCTCATCCGTCAATAAAATTATGATTCATTGTGTCCCGGCGACTCACTCTCGCGGTTGCCCGTGCAATAGCGAGTGCCGTCGCATTTTTGGCCCGGATCAAAGTGTACAAAATCGGGAGTATTGTAAACATCTTAATTTGCATATAAATACGCATGAGAAAATTCTGTGTAATTTTTAAACAAGATTTATGCGACGGCTTGGGGTCTGTGCGCGAGTGCGGATTTATTTATGGGCTGGCGAGAGGTCAGGGCAGCCGCCCGCCCAGATTTGTCAGTTCATTAAAAATGAAACGTTTGTAAACGTTAATGAATTTTCCCGTGAATGAAACACCACCCGCAGTTGTCAGAGCCCCGACAGGCGTGACCACAAGTTGTCAAATTGTGGCCGCAGCAGCTTCGGATCTGGGATTTATGAGCGTTATTTATACGCCCGCTTCTACTTTGAACAGCGATTTTCCGCTGCATCGATGCTTCTAATTAAAATGCAACAAGCGCAGCTACAGCCCAGGCCCCAGCACAATTTGTGCGGATATAAATTTAAATCAGTGCCGAACGCCGTGGGGTGCCTTGAGCTAAAGTTTTCCAATAAAAGCGGCTTACCTGGAGCACCGGACATGGACCCGTAACTCGGCAAGAGAAACAACAGAGAAGCGAACTGTTTGCGATGGAAAACGTGTTAACGGATATTGCTTACGCTCTCGGCACTCCCCAAATATGCAGCGACCAAAATCTCTTTGCCATTATTTACCACAGACAATATTAAGTATACGCGTAGAGCGCAGCTAAAATTAGCCAACCGTTTGACAGCCACTGCACTGAGAGCGTTGCATAACAGCGGCACTCGACTCCTTTTTTCCACTTTTATTTGGCTCGCGCCATTTCCCATTTGTTACTCACTATTTGCCATTTGTTTGCCATTTCTGTTGTATTTATGAGCCTGTTTTTGAAAGCGAAAAACAAATGGCCATAAATCAAGTGTCATATTCCGGCCACAGACAATGTTCCACCATGTAAAAGCGGTGGACAAACTAACAAAAAAGGCCACAAAAAAGTGGCAGAAGGGCAGGTTTAGCAACGTATTAAAGGGTAAATCCAATAAAGGCAATGCAAATGGTAACCATTTAAGTAAAAGACTTGATGTGCAACTTGAAGTTGTGGCTTAGAGTTCACTCACATTACGCATACGACATGTGTGTGTGTGGGTAGAGCCAGTGGCGGGATGCGGCGGCGCGTGTGGGTTTTTAATTACAATCCGTCGCGCCATTAAACGCATTTTTATGGCACTTCTTCAGCAACAATTTAACTGCCAGAGAAATTTCATGCACCAACCAGGATCAGACAGATAGCAGAATCGCTCGGTCGCTCGCTACCCGTTGAATTAATCTGCCTGTGACCAGAGCCAAACGTTGCCCGAAGTGACATTGCAAATTGCTACTTAAAATATTTAAAATTCGTAGAACTTCTTTCTGTCTCTGTCTCTGTCGTTTTCGATTGACTTTTTCTCTCTATTTTTTGTGTGTGCATTTCAAGTCCATTTGGTAATGCCTTAATGGTTTTTCAATTGAGATTTGTGAATTCTTTTTGCTTTGCGCTTGCCACAGAGACTCAATGGAAAATTCCTCAACAATATACATAAAAAAATCACAGAGAGAGAGAAAGAAATACCGACCAAAATGAAGAAAAATGTTTGTGGATAAACAACGTTTTCTGTTGTGCACAATTTCTACACATGAGTTTTTCTATTGATTTTCTATTTTTGGTTCTTTGTTTTGTTATGTTGCCAAAATTCGAATAAACATTCTTCGAGTGGCTTAATTGGCCAACAGATATTATTGCAATCGCCTTTAGTCACGTGCACATGGCTGCATTCTTGCCATTGGTATGCATCATTAAACTGTTTTCACGCTTCAGGTGCACCCTGGCTGTGCATTATAAATAGTTTCCGAGGTGCACACTGAGTGTGCATATCCTCTTAGTATTGGCAGCCATGACAGCGGGATCCCTTTAAGTGCCACTTTAATTTTAACGAGCCCTTAATGTGTCTTTAATTAGTAAGGCCGCCTCTAGCTGGGTTGATTGAATGTTTGCCCTACAAATTGAGATTAATGCCGCGCGTGGGTGGGAGCTGCCGGACCGGAAAACAGAAGCTTTCCTTCAAATACAATGAACGATGGATGCCGGTGGTGCTACAACTCTGTTGTCTTGTCCCTTGTTCGAAGTCGGAGCTCCTTTGTTGTTAAGGCGCTGCCAAAAGGCAATATAAATCATGTCGAGAGCCCAAACTCCCTGCCACAATTCCCTGGCACACTCCACGGGACTCACTCAATTCAATTAGCAGCTAATGAAGTAATTTCATCAGGTCGCCAATTAATTTATTTTATTCTCAAGCCATTACACGGCTCAAGCCTCAACAGGTTTTGTGGTCATGAAAAATGTCACTGCAGCAGATACAAAATTCCCACGCAGCCAGCGCCGAGGGCAGAGACATCAACACTTGACGACAACGTGCCGGTCAGGACGACTCCTGCGTGCTGAGATTTTGCGGCAGCCTCATGACACTAAGATTTTATGACATTTCGGCAGCATCACAATTATGTTTTATTGACCAAACAGACGCATTGAGTGGCAAATCAGCAGCAGAAATAAGCCAGCAGTCAGACCGCTTGCTCGTTGCTGCCACAAAATGGAAAACTCTACACAAAAAAAGCTCAACGAAAAATAAGTCTAAATGTTGCCAAGTGAAATTGTGCGCATAAATATTTTGCATTATAAATTAGAAAGAGTTTTAGCTTAAAGTTGCTTTTATTCTGATTACAAATGGCTCTCGTTTTGCGTTCGTTTGTGTCTGGCCTGGCCCAGGGCCAACTAATCGTGCGGGATACTCGGAGCGCACTCGTATCTGCGGCACAAATGGTAAACTTTATGGCACACAGGGGGCATAGAGACAAAGGCACGGTCCCTGCCTGGTTGCCAATTGAAACGCCTGCAGCTGTTACAGCTCTAGAGGTTGTTCTGCTCGTCTGCTTGATGTGGCCTAATGTTCATTATCTTGTCTCAATTGCACTAATAGTGGAGACGACTCAATTCGACTGACCTTGGGCTCAGCCGGAGTCCCTCCGCTTAAAGAGACTTCACCTTAAATTGTGGTTGCGCTCCGCCTGTACTTCAACTATACCGAAATTGAGGAGCCAAATCAAATCGGAAACACTCGAACATAAAGATAAATCGTTGCCATGGCAGCACATGGATTATTGCTGCCACGAATGCTGCCAAAAAAAAATGAGAAGAAACTCTGTCATTTGTTGTGCGAAATGCTGGGCGATAACTCAGCGTTGGCAAATCGGAATTGTCGTCATCATTTTTGCCTATTGGATACGCGCCATTTGAGTGATTCTGATTGACTTTCGAGCGCCCATCTCCCAGCTGAGCCATCTGATCGCTGCTCAATGTTATCAATGCCAGCCGTAAACAATTTCTGACAATGTCCTGTTTACGTCATTGCTTAGGCCTGTGGTCCGCAAACACTTTTAGGCCTCATAAAATCGTGTCCATAAAATCGTACAGCAAATGGGAATTAAGCGAAACACTGGCTGGCTGGCCTGTTCTTAGTTGTTTCCGTTTCCGCAATTTCAGTGGAATCGTAGCTTACTTTCAGCACTTTCTATGTTTGGAAGAATAAACAAAAACATGTAGAAATTGGCCAAGTTGTTGTTCAAGGTTGCACATTAATCAGGAGTTATAGGAGTATCTACATACATAGTTCCCTGTGGAACCAATCAATCTGTGGAATGATTAAGAAATACAATCAATGTCCATGAGAAGAGACCAGGACCGGGTCGACTTTACGCACCATTAGGCGCTCATAGCGGCTGTTTAATGTTTTGTGGAAGTTTTTTGCTGGATCGTGGTAGTTCTGAGAGCATAACAAAAAGGAGTTATATTTGAATTACAAAAGATGTACGTAGTAGATATGTTCATACATATTAATGCAAACTTATTGTATGACTTTTTTGCTGTATCTAACTACAAAATCATCCTCAAAGAAGTTCGGAATCAGAGAAAGATTCCTTTGCCAATGTTAGCTTTCCTGATTCTGATGCTGATTCCTGTTTCTATGACAAAAATTGCAGTAAGGTTCAGGTTCAACTTTTTTTCGGAGCATCTCAAAGTTCTATTTATGGCATTGAGCCGCTCAATAATTGAGTTCCAAATAGTTTGCAGCTTTATTTCAATCGGTTTAGTGGCATCAGAGCTGGACTCAAACTCTGCTCAAAAATATGTTGAGCACGGCAACGTGACAAACTTAGATAGCTGCCTGAGTGCACACATAGTTTGAGTATATTTTAACGTGGTTACACTTTAGCTAAAGTTTGGTAAAAGTTCTTTTGAGCTGCACACTACGCCACTACCTTGGGTTGGGTTACACTTTGAACTTAATAACACAACTACAAAAATGTGCAACAGAAATTATTTGATGTGATGTTATGCCGGAAGGAGTTTATACTCATTTTTGGAAATTTTTGGCCAATGCACATTTTACATTTCATTCATTAATGTTTGTTAATGATTTCTTTGCCTTTTTTCGCAATATTTCCATAACATTTTATTAAATCATACTTCCAGTTCAATGCAAAAAAAAAGCAGCCTTTCATTTATTATACATATATGCGATTTCCAATTGATTGTATGCCAAGGATGTCTGTTATCGAGTTTTCATGCGAGTTGTCAATGTTGTTCTATGTTGTGGCAGTGCTGGCAACTGTGTTCCATGGGCACAGTGACGACCTCATCATGCAGGCGATGAGCAGGAAGGTGGCCTCAGTGGCTGGGGCACTCAATAGCATGAGCAAAGCCACCACCAGGATGGCCATCAGGAAGGTTGTGGACTGCATGATGCTTGTATTGCTACTTTACGCTGCTTAACTCAGAACTAATTAACGATGCGAAGTTCCTGCTATTTATACGAGCTGCCACCAGACACTTTTGACGCATTGGTCAGTGTTATGTAATGACAAAACAATTGTAAGCTATTTGTGGGAAAATGTTTGCTTAGGTGCAACTTGCTTAGGCAACAAAATATTGTTTGTGTGGTCCGCGATTGGGTTGTAGTTATCATTATGAGCATTTATTATTCTATAGTTGATATTTAACTAATTGCTTGCACAGAAGAATGAACTCCTAAATGACGAGAGTAAATGTGAGAAAGATCTACAATGTATGACAATATTTGGAGTCTATGCTGATAGAATTGGAAAATGTTGGTTAAATATTACGATCAATTGGATTTATTTATTTAGATTATGTTAATCTATAAAAAACGTCCATAAATCACTTTGAAATTTATAGAAAGTATTTTTAATTTGTTGCCTAGAAATATTATTATTAGGAATTAATTTGGACATATTTGGGTGGAAATAATGTGTAAAAATTCCATTTGAAGTGTCATAAAATATATGTTTTATTTAGTTAATATTTATATATGATATCCTATGAATTTCCAACCTTATTCTAGGAGCTGCCACCGTGCGCTAGCAATGCTAGGGGCAGTGAAATATTTGCACTAGTTAAGCATATTTCTATTTGTATAAAACTCTTCGTAACTCTTAGAACTTTCGTATTATTTGTCCCATATGTATGCATAATTTTAGGCACATTTCTAACTAACAATAATATCTGGCGCTGCGCACTGTTTACTGCTATGGTCAGTGAGAAATTTCCACACTCTCTTTAATCTGCGTCCCTTGGCATTATGCAGCGTGATCATCGCTTTGTACGCGCATAACTTAATGGAGTATTTAATGTAGAAAAGTGAACTGTGAAGGGGTTTCAGATGTGCGCGCTTCGCGCAGAGCCCCGTGACATAGAGGTCCTCCAAGTAAACCATTTTGGTGGACCAGGCAGCATCGTACAGGCGCTGCACCACATCAATGGAGAGCAAATAGCCGCCACCCGAAAGGTACTCTGGATATGTGCTGCGGGGATACATGTAGTGGGGCATGTACCACTTGCTAATTGTGTCTATTATGGGTTTGGATTTGCTGAACTTGTAACCACGCATCACTTCCGTGGTGCCGCCCATGCGTGACTGCCAACTGGACGTATAATTAATGGTGTCATTGTATAGGGGCACAGTGCCGCCGAGTATAAAGTGCAGCAGATTGGGCACATTAACAAAGGTGTCGTCGTCACACTTGAAGAAAAAGGCGGTGCTGTTGGAGCAACTTTTGCTGACATGCTTCAGGGCCAGCACGGACTTGAGCGTCAGATTGTTGTAGGTGTCGATAAAGTCCTCCTGAATGATGTCATTGTATCGATGTGCCTCCTGCTGCAGTTGCGTTGACTGGTCTGGCTGCAGGTTAGATTTGCTGCGGCCAAGCATAAATACAACTTGCACCGAGGCCATCAGCGTCTCACCCTCACCACTGAGGTAATCCGTGTAGAGACGCAAGCGGCTCTTCAGGGGCGGCAAATAAGATCCCTTGCGGTGGCCATGCAGCTTGGCAAAAACTGGATAATTAAAGTTTGTCGTATTGCCCCAAGTCTCTCGAATGAGCTGCCGCTGAGCGAAGTCAATCACGCGCGACTCCACGACAATCAGCAGCAGAGTTTTCTGTCCACAAAAGTCTCGAGGCACAATTAGCGCGGTGTCCTCCAAAGGCCAGATGTAGTCCCTCAGGTTGCGGGAAGTGTTTAAAGTCCAATCCGCAAGTGGCGCTAAAAAGAGCAGAAGTTAACCCTTAATTCACTTTCAATGGCAGGTGTATAGGTGTGTGTCCCGTACTATTTCGCTTGAGCAATTCAAGATAATTATTCAGCTGGTAAACGTGATACATCGTGTACAGCAGGAGCGCTGTCAGGATGTAAAAGCAAGCACGACATAAATAGATTGGCGTTGCTCTGTGGCATTTGTTTAGCTTCCACTTAAATGCGGAATTTAAGTTTAGTTTGCCCGATGGGAGCATGGTGCAGCTGCAGAATCTAAAGTCAACTGAAGCGAATTGAAAGCTGGTCCCGTTTGGCTGGGAGAGACTCAATAGTTGTGAGGTTGTAATTAGTATTTGTACTAGGAATGAAGAGTAGCTGCTATTAATTGTGTAATTGTACCCTTTGACAGAGAGTTTTGGGGTATATGCAGCAGAGTATCTCCAGTTGCATCGCCTACATTTTGGAACATAAGTTCACGTTGTCAAATTACACAAATAATAATTATGCAATTGTGTACATTAATGCCAACAAACCTCTGCCATTTAACAACTGTTCTACTGTGCTTCTAGCACAACATACCCTGGCATACCGCTTGTACCGTAGTAATGCCCGGCACAAATGTTTAACCATCTGGCAGACTGAAAGTTAACTAAATATACGCTGCCCTGCCATAGGTAGCTCTGCCTTATTATCAGCACAATTCTCCAGTTTTTAGTTCTTCAAAATATCTATACGTGTATTCACAATTCTTCATTCACATTTTGGAAAAGCATTCTGGCTGCTTTTGGTTGGCTACAAAGTAAGACTATGTTCAATTCCATTGGTTGTTGTTGTTTTTTATACATAATTATATTTTACAGTGTGGATTGGCCGTGGCTCAATCATTTGATGCTATTGGTGACGGTGGACTGTTCCGCGTAGTTGGCCAACCATTCGCCCACTTGCTGCTTGTTCAGTGACAGCCACTTGATGTTGGCCTTGACCGTTTCCAGTGCCTGTTGGCGTGCTGCGGTGCCAGCTCCTGCTTCGGGATACTTCTCAAAGAAGTGCTGCATCTCCTCGACCTTCGTTTGTGTGTAGAAGCGCGATGTGATCGTGGGAATCAGACGACCCAGTGTACGCTCGTTGATGCCAAAGCGCTCGACCAGCTGCTCCCAGTGCTCGCGCACATAATCCCAGACAAGGCTCTGGCCCACAGGATTGACCGACACATAGCCCAGCAGCGTGAAGTAGTCCTGGCGACGCACGTTGCTCTCATCCGCAGCCAGATTGATGTAGCGCTGCAACAGCCATGGCACCTTGACGGCAGCCAAGGCGTTCATAAGCCGCACCTTCTCCTGTGCATCGGCCTCGGCCAGATACAGCTGCCAGACCTGGTCCCAGGCGGCTTCCGTGTTGACCTGCTGCAGACCGTAGTAGTAGACGACGTCCCGAATGTCAGGACTGGGACGTGTTTCAGGTGCGACCAACCACTGATTGAACAGCGTGACAGCCTGCTGCAGCGAGGCCACGTGTCCCACGGCGCAGGCGGAGCTCAGAACCTTGATGCGCAGGCGGCTGCAAAATGCACAAAAGTTAATCTCTAATTGTAGCAGGGGGTCTTGTCCGTGTTGTCTTACTTCTCCAAATGATTGGTGCCAACGGTGAACGTAACCTTCTCCACAATGGGCGTGAGCAGCTTGCGGGCGTAGGTGGTAAAGTTGCTGTACAAATCGGTGTAGTAAACGCGATTGCGCAGCGAGGCCAGCGACGAGGTGCCAACACTCCAGGGCACATAGTCCTGTTCGCTCTCCAAATACGTGCTCAGATCGAGGGCCACGGCATAGTTCAACTGTCCAGCAGCGGCCAGGGTGTTGGCATCGTTCAGCAAATGTGCACGATCAGCGGTGCTGAAGTCCTCCCGCGATGCCTTGAGCGCTGCGGTCAGTGCAGCCCACTGCTCGGCCGCATAGTTGACGCGATAGTAGCCAACCTGATCCTTGTTGAACTTGATCCAGCTGGCATCGCCAGTCAGCGTGATGCTGGCCTCATTGTCGTTGTGATTGAAGATCAGCGACTGCACCTCGCTGTTGATGCTGCTCGTGTAGGTGATGGGAATGGACCAGCGGTAACTGCAAAGAACAAAACGTTGAGTCAATGAGGCAAAGCTGAGAGAGTTATTCCGAAACTTACTTGAAAGAAGAGGCCTCAGCGCTGGCCTCGTAATCGTCCGCATTGGCCAGGAATCGTTTCTGCGTGAGCTTGTAGCTGTTGCCATTCTTCTCCACCTCGACAACTGGCAAACCCATTTGCTCTGTCCACGTTTGCATGATTTGTCTGTGAGTTTGGAAACCAATTAGTGGGTGCAAAAGCATCAGCAGCTATCGGACACTCACTTGACATCAAATTCGAGTCCCTCCTCCTCCTCAATGGCTGTGAGATAATCCTCCGTGGTGGCAGTGGAGTAAATGTTATTCTTCAGATAGCGAGTTGTGCCATTCTTGAACTTGGCCTCGCCCACAAGGTTCTCCAGCATGCGCACCAAAGCGGCGCCCTTCGAGTAGGTAATTGTATCGAAATATTCGGTAATCTCAGCGGGACTTTCAATTGATTTAACAATGGGATGGGAGGCCAAAGTGGCGTCGATGATCAGCACTGGATGGAGCTCCTCGATGACAAACTGATTGTCCATATCCCAGTCCGCATGCATGTGCTTCGTGCCCTTGTACTCAATGAACGAGGCAAAGCCCTCATTCAGCCAGAGATCACTCCACCAGTTCATGGTGACGAGATTGCCGAACCACTGATGCGCCAGTTCATGCGCCACAACAACAGCCACACGCTGCTTGTTCACGCTCGAGCTGGTGGCCTCATCGTACAGCAGTGCCGTTTCGCGGAAGGTCACCAGACCCCAGTTCTCCATGGCGCCGGACACAAAATCAGGAATGGCAACCAAATCCAGCTTGGGCAGCGGGTAGGAGATGTTGAAGTAGTTAATGTAATAGTCGAGCACGCCCACACCGATGTCCAAAGCATATTGGGTCTTCTCCACTTGTGCTGCTGGCGCGAAAGTGCGCACTTCAATGGAAGGATTGACTGACGATGTTGTCGTCTTGTGGGCAAAGTCTGAGACGACAAAGGCAGCCAGATATGTGCTCATGGGCACAGTCTCCTGGAACGTCACTTCAGTCAGATCTCCATCAATGTACTCCGCGGCCACGGGCATGTTCGACAGCACATGATACTCATCGCCGCTGGGACGGGCAATGGTTATGGTGAACTGTGCCTTCAGGGCAGGCTCATCGAAGCAGGGGAAGGCCCAGCGGGCATACGTAGGCTCGAATTTGGTGCTGGCAATCCATCTGTAAGGCAACAAGGAAGGAATTACTACATGGCAAAAGACTCATTTTATGTTAATTAAATTGGTTGCATGCAAGGGGCAGGGGGTATGTCGGTTGTTAGTAGCTTTGCTACCTGTTGCGATTCTTCAGCTTGTCCCAGTAGGAGCTCTGATAGAGGCCTGTAATGCGATCCGTCAGCGAACCGTTAAAGTTCAGGCGCAGCGTATAGTTGCCCACATCCAGCGGCTTCTCGAACTCGGTGACCCAGTACTCAAATTCGGGATAGGAGAACGTCAGTGTTGGCGTTACGCTCTTCAGCGGCGCACCCGACTCGTCCAAGTGCTGCACATCGACGGTGCTCACATTCAGCTGCTTCACGTGTACGGGTATGAAGGCTATCGGCTCGAGTACCTCCAGGCTGATGCTTATATTGCCTGTGTAGTTCTTCTGGTTGAGATCTGGACGCAGTTGCAGCTTGTATTTGCTCGGCTTCATTTCCTTTGGCAGCCGGTAGCCGAGTTTCTGCAACACCTTGCTGGCTGCTCTAATGGCGGGCGCGACGGTGGACATGGCTCGTGATTTGGTATTGGAAGGCACTTGAGTGGTGGTGGGTGCACGATTATCTAGCGATAATATGCAATTTAATTTATAAAAATTCGTTTTAGTTTATTTTAGCATTAGTGTGACCGCGGAGCAATCGTTGAAATACGGTATTTGTCATGCCAGACTTGCGGAAATATACCGAATATACTGACTGAACTTAACCCACTTCGAACCCCTTTATTTATACAGCTGAAGATGTGTGCTCTATTTTCGTTAAATATTGCTACAATTATGTTGTCTAAACTGACTTCAAATAATATCTAATAAATTGATATTATTTCTGTATTTAACTCTGTTTCATCTGCTTTTTGCTTCCCACTGGAATAGCTGTTCTTTGGCTGTAATAGTTGTTGTTAACCCATTATATCCCATACAAAATATATCCGTCATTCTAGTAAAAACTTCTCGCGACTCGTATATCAAGACTTTATGTTGAACCAACCTGAAAAAACACTCAGAATCGGTTTGGTGGACAACAACTGATCACGATCCACATAGACAGTGCGTATGGTCCCATTCAGTGCCGCCTGCGTGCTGTTTGCCGCCTGCTGTCGCTGGTGCTCATCGGCTATATTCTTGCCCACATAGACGAGTGCGCCCAGCAGGAAGCCGCACAGCACCAGCAGGAACACACAGAAGGCGACCAGAGTGAGGATGGTGTTCCCTGGTGCCTTGTGCGGCCGATTGGTGTCCTTGATGCGGTGATTGTCGTCTGTGGAGAGGCTGCTGCGTGGGCGCACGTTTTTTGTTGCATACATGCCAACGGTTGACTGTTTGTTCTGGTGATTAAATTTAAGCTTTCAACTCTAAGACTCGTTCACACTGAATGACGAATGACGCGACGACGAGCTACGAAAAGCGAAAAGCTGTGGATGTTACTTTTGAACTTGGTTTTATTTTATGTTAAGCCCGCACTATCGCAAATTGTCACTGTCAGAAGCTGTCACTGGCATTGCTCTGCTTTAAATCACATTTTTAACTGTATTTTTATCTCCCAGCACTCCGATCCCATTGTGTCATCGACAGGGAGGTAATTCGAGAGCGCAATAAACAGCAGAAACCGAATTACATGCCTCGCCGTTACCATCATCACTTTTTTTTATGATCTCTGAGCTACTTATAAACAAACTCGGGTTTATTTTCATAGCTTTTTATGGTGCGGTACAGGGGGGGATAGAGAGAGAGAGAGAGAGAGAGAGAGTCCATCAGTTACAACTTATTCCTCTCCGCATTGGAGCTTGTCTCGCTGCAGATCAATCAGATGGCAGGCTGGCCGCCACTTCTGCCCCCTCGCATGGTCACGTAATGAAGTTGGTCATTTCAAGAAAATTGTTACTTCAAATAGTTGGAGCAACACGATTCCACAGCTCAGA